GAACGCCCCAGGGCTAGTACAAGGGCATCCAAACAGTATGCCACAGACATTGACTCCGATGAAGAAGGAGAAGAGGGATTCCAAGGAATCCCAACAAGCACAAGTCCAGACAACCCTACAGTTGAAGAGACGGCACCAGCAGTGGATACCAATGATGGAAACCTCGCTGGACCAGCCAAGGCTTCCAAGCTTCCTCGAGTCGGAATTAGACGCTCAGCTCGGATTGCCACGGCCGACGCAAAGAAAGGAGTCACCTTCGTTCAAGATGACGAAGCAAAACACCCACTACTGTATGAAACAGAGACAAGCAAACATCTAGCTTTGTTCATGGACTCCTGTAATCACAGGAGTGCCACAGCAGAAGTCATGGATGAGAGCAGCCATGCCCAACAACATCTTCTACCCAAGGGTTTGAAAGTGTGGGCAACAAAGCCAGAGAGGCGGCGCTCAAAGAGATGGACCAGCTACACAGCAGAGTGTGTTTCAGTCCAGTCGACCCAAACAAATGCAGTGATTTTGAATTGAAAAAGGCACATATGGCACTCATGTTTGTGGGTGAGAAAAGGGATGGGACGGTAAAGGCCCGTGCAGTCTAACATGGGAAACCTACAAGGGTGTACCATCAGAAAGAAGTTGCCAGAAGCCCAACAGTTTCACTTGAGGTTTTGATGTTATCCATGTGTGTCGATTCATCCGAAGATAGGGATGAGATGTCCACATGATGTTCCCAATGCGTTAATCCAAACCCCAATGCCCAAAGTCAAACAAGGTGAAGACAGGGTCCTCATGATCATTGAGGAACCCTTGCAGATTTACTTGTTTGAAATTGATCCTGACAACTATGCCTCTTTCTGGACATACAAAAAGGGACGTTCTGTCCTCTATGTTGTCGTGTAGAGAGCCATTTATGGCATGGGTTTTGCAGCACTTCTTTGGTACAAGTTAGTCAGAAGTGACCTCGAGCAAGTTGGATTTGTGTTCAACAGATACGTTCCTTGTGTGGCCAACCGCTTGATCGAGGGTACCAACCAAACAATCCGATTCATGTTGACGATTTTATGTCAAGCCACAGAATGAAGTTTGTGAATAACCAAACTTTGGAATGGTTCAACGCTAGGTATGGAACCTATGGAACCGTAAAGGCAACCCGTGTTCCCAAGCATGACTACTTGTGGATGACGGTGGACTTTTTCGATCCAGGCAAGGTTGGTATTGACATGATAGATTATTTCAAGAAAATGATCTCAGAGTTTCCAGTAGACTTTGGGGCAATGAAAAAGTTACCAAGTGCAGCTCCTGCTAACCTATTTCAGCTCTGGTGATGGTACCATCCTGAATGACAAGAACAGAGAAACCTATCATAACTTTGCAGCCCAGCTGTTGTTCCTGTGCAGGCGTGCTCGACCAGATGTGCAGACTCTCACTACTGTGTTATGCAATCGTGTCAGAAGCCCAACATCTGATGATTTGGACAAGTTGGTCCAAGGACTCAAGTTTTTTTTTGGATAAGACGGCACAGGACAAGTTGATCCTACACATTTATGACATACGCATCATCACTTGGTGGGTGGATCCATCATTTGCAGTCCATCCTGACTACCGTTCTCACACAGGAGGAGTCATGTCCTTTGGAAGTGGCGCGGGGCTGTCTGTGTCTGCGAAACAGAAATTGAATTCAAGAAGCAGCACGGAAGCGGAATTGATTGGAGGTGACGATGTCATGTCGCCCATGTTGTGGCAAAGTTGTTCCTTGAAAAGCAGGGGATCGTTGTGAAGGACAACATCCCTCATGCAGGACAACAAAAGCACGATCATTCTTTCAGAGAATGGCAAAGGCAGTTCGGGCAAGAGAACTCGGGCTATCAACATTTGTTTCTTTTTTTTTCATGACCGAATTGGAAAGGCAAACTTAGAGTTGTGTATTGCCAAACCTTGGAGATGCGTGGAGATTTTTTCACGAAGCCCCTTAAGGGCAAGCCCTTCCACGAGCACAGGGCTTTCATCATGGGGCATCCACCCCTTGTTTGATTGCCTATTTATTTTATTCGTTCCACGGTAGCCACTCAGGGCACCGTGCAGAAGTGTGTTGGAGGGGGAAACATACCTGCACCTCTTTACTATTGACTCGTGTAATAATCTCTAGTCCGAGTTCGCTTGCATATTATGATGCAGGAACCAAGGTGAGTTTTAGTGTCTAAAGTGGTTACGGGGTCCTTATATCCAATCAATCACAAGAATTGCTATGCACCACCAGAAAATCCTCACTTTTTCTTTATTGCTTTTCAGCTTAATCTAAAACCAAATTACTCCCCAATAAGCTGCAGTATTACTAGCAAACAACAATGGCAACTCTAACAGTTCCTCGTCATCATCCCTTGCTGAAAGATTGACCACATTTCCTACAAGCTCGCGAATAAAAAGAGTTGCCCTTCGAGATGCGAGTTGCCTCATCTCTTGGAAAAACAGCTCCAGCCCTTCATTGACTGCTTGCTTGGATGCATTGGTGTTGCCTGTGCTACCATGAACTGCGCTTGACTTGCCATCAGCAATTTTCTCACACTGGGTCCAGCGCTGGTAGCCAAAACCAAGAACTCTTGCCAAGGTGTCGCGACAACAGGGATGATATGCTGTGCCAGGAAGGATCCAAGCTAGCTTCTACTCCTTTTTATTCAGATCATGAAAGCTTCTCTTGGTGTATTTGCGTTGATACTTGATCCATTCAACCACAAAGCCAGTCTGCCGCTCCTTTGGCATCAAAGCAAAAGTCCATAGGAATGCACAAACAAAACCAAAGTCCATGCTTCCTGGCTGGCTCTGGAATCTCTTGACAGCAGGTGCATGTGGTTGCATGACTGTTCTTCAGTGCAAGGCAGTGCTCAAAGCGGTTGTAGTCGATCAGCCATTGTGCGATTTCTTGTTTCAATGCTTCCACGTTGGGAGGATTTTTGCATCTATTTCCCCTCAGGATTTGGTCTCTGATTCCTCCAGAATGGATCTTCCTCACAGGGCTGACCCATAGGATGCCGGCAGGGGTAACATGTGTGGTGGTAGCCACTGGTGTTGATGTTATGGTGCCGAAATAGGCGCTGTTTTGCCATCTTTGTTTGAGTTGGCCGCATGTTCGAATTCGAAAGAGTCCATCCGAAAGAAAAGAAATGATGGGAAAACATGTGGGAGTCGGCGTGGGAGTCGGCTTTCATCAGGAACGCGCACGATTACTTAGAAGTGTCGGTTAAGCACCACTAAATACCGAAGCCAAACCAGCCAATGTTCATATACAATGATCTATAGATTACATTAAAACCAAGCGTTTAATATTCCAAAAACGACTTTTGTCGCACACTTGCCCCACGGGCGACGGACGGGTGCCGGCCTGCAAACGTTCTGGCCTGTCTTAGGTGTGTAACAGGAATTTTGCAAATAAGGAAGTTTTCATCTTTTCTTTCTTTCCCCAGTAATTTACCCAAACATCACTCAATATCCCTGGATAAGCCAGCAAGCATACTCAGGCTCATTTTCATTTGTTTTTTTAAAAAAAGGCTGTCTGGCTGTGTCGCAGGGAGTTCTCGAAGATCAGCAGATCCAAGACTATCAATGCAAAGACAGAAGGCAATTTTTTTGGGTAACGATCATTTAAAAGTATTCGCTTCCGGCAGAAGCACTAAATTTCTCATGTTTAATGCTCTAGGCTTTTTCTTCTTGCCACGTCAGCAATTCAATTATTGCTACTTCAATTCAGCTGGCTGAAATTTCATGCTCTCTGCATCCGATGCGAACAAACAAACACACAAGGACGTCAGGTATTGCTCTGGGCATTTCCTGAAACGTCCGGAAACAGCTAGTTTCACGGTGTGTAAAACTGTAGTTTCAATTTCACGTTTACAGTTTTAGTTTCACTCTGTGAAGGCTAGTTTCACGAATTATTGTAAAAATACTCCATCAAAAGCCTTATTAGCTTCGAATTTGGGAAACTAGTTTTACATTATTCTGTGAATATAGTTGCAATTTCACACTTTTGACTCTAATTTCACACCTGTGAAAATGTCAAAAAAAGTGTATCTTGTTTCACCTTGTTGTTATAGAAGAGCCGAAGGAAGGAGGATTTGGAGGACGTTACCAGTAGCAAGGAGCAGCAGCGAAACAGCCACTTGCCAATGTTTGTCATCATCACTCCACTCTTCTCTTTCCAAGTCTGCAAATGGAACCACGGTGGAACATCGCTTGCTACCAAGGCAGCTCTAGCGATCGGCAGCGCCAGCTAGACTACTAGTGCAGGATCTGAAGACAGAAGCTGATGATCCGTGGGGGGGCACCTCTGACAGCCCTTCTTTTTTGCTTGGTGAGACGGGGAGACAACCTAACGGACGGTCCCGGACCAAAACTTCCCCAAGACAGGGGGAACCTTCAGTGGAAGCTCTGTGTTGCTAGGAGTCCGTCGATAGGACTGAACCAGCAAGCTACCGGTAGGTTCTAAGTTGGCTTGAGCTACCTGGTATGGCCTTTCTATCAGATTTTCATGGTCAGGTCTGAGGTGGAGCTCTCATCAAGCTGGGAACTGCAATTCTGTTTCCTAATGTACTGGTAGCTTCTGCAGAGTTGCTCGGCAATAAAACCAATGCATCATCCAGCCAAACAGTGTAGGTCGAGAGTCGAGAAGCCCCTACACCAACACTCGCGCTCCCCGGCTCAGCTGAAGCTGAATGATTCAATCCCTGCGTAGTAGCTAGCTAGTAGCTAGCTCCAGTGTCTATCTTATTTCTCTCTGCTACCGGTACTGTCCATCATCCCTTTGCGTGTCTTGCCGTCTTGCCCCTTGCCCCGCGGTAGAAAACTACAACCAACAAGCTCAGCTTGGTTTTCTGGGGTATGGGGCAACTATGGATTTACAAACACAATACGGCACTGCCACACTTAACATGGCAGGTACATGCAGTTACGTTATGTGCAGTTACGTTATGTGCAGTTACGTTATGTGCAGTTACGTTTCACTATTGAGATTAGTGTAGTTTAAACGTTACGTACAGTTACGTTCTATTCCGCGTAATTACGAGTAAATACGCATTTCGAAAGACACTGCAACAAATCTCAATCCATAAGTTGCCTCATACCCCTGGATGGGGAACAAGCCACTGGTCAGTCCACCGGTGGCACTCCTGACTATTATACCTACCTGTCGTACAGTACTGTACTATCGGTACTCTCCGACTGAGGACTCTTCTCTTCTGCTTAGGGGAAGGAGAAGCCGTTTTGAAAGGCTTCCCAACTTTTGATTCTTAATGACCTGACTCCAACTTCGGCCTTCCAGAAAGAAATCGGAATCCCTCCGGCAGTTTCGCTTCCGAAAAGGGTTCAGAAGAAGAAGCGAATCAAGAGAGGAAAAATAGACTTATGAGGTACCGTTTGCAGAAAGAAAGGAAGGCAATGGAGTTAATAATTTGAAATTACAGAGAAGCTGTCCTTGATTGCCTGGTTCGTTTATTTTGGCATGTTTGGATTGGCTGAAGCTGATGATTCATCCGCTCACTTTTTGACCGGATTTATTGTCATGACACGAGGTTCTGGTTCCGACAATGCATACAACATTAATTTTGTTTCGTTGAGCTGGCCCAAGGCCTCTGCACTTTCGAACTATTTTCAACTTTTCAACCCACGACACGGAAAGCAGGAAAGGAAGCAACTGAGATAGGTGGCAAGGTTTAGAGCCATACGGAGGCGAAAAGGAAAACGACAATGGACCTCAAATGTCGATGTCGCGTGGGATTGGTGGATTTGATAAGATACATGTAGATTCGATTCGTTCTCCTGATAGGTGATCATGGGAAAACCGAGAGGCCAATTCAGATGATGAGCTATTGCTATTGTGATCAGCCCTCGTGTTGTTTTCTCGTTGTCAACGCACCGGCACCCCCGGAATTGCAATCAATGGGTGTAATTGCCTTGGGAAGCGTAAGGAGTTGTTGTATCTTGCACTTGAGTGTCTTGTCTTCAGCTGGTAGCCAGGGGCTGCTTTCATTTTCCAGTTCTCTGGAAATCGCCTTAAGGAGCCATTACACGGTATTTCTTTTGCATGTTCGCCAGCTAGCATGCATGTAGTATCCTACGGGTGGAGCTACATGTACAAGACCGATAGGGATATTGCAATATTGCCCTCAACAACCAGTTACCGTATGCCTAGCTATCTAGCTATCAGATAGCTAGCTAGCTAGCTAGCTGCTATTAATAGCAGCCTTGGCTTTCATTGAGCAAAATACAGGTCGAGGGCACCGACCTACTGTAGACGGCAGTCTGTCCCGCCTTCTCTGGATAATGAACTGAAGCCAATTGAAACCTTTACAATGATGTGATCTATGCTGGTACACTTGGCAAGCTAGCTAGCATAGCCAAAACAAAACAGCTATGTGGAGACCTCAAACAGTTTGGAAACAGCCCTCATGTTCAATAGACTGGACACTCTCGAGGGCTTTTTAGTAAAGTCATTATGGAAGTGTTGACTGGTGCAGATCATTTGCAACTCTTGATGTCAGGGTGACTTCACCACTGCCAGAAGTAATGCCACAGTTACAACCACAGCAATCGCAGCTGCAGGAAACATCGCTGCAGTCCACAATAATTATGATATTTTGATTGATCATCTTCAAGTTGCAGATCTCTTCAGGCAGTGACCCTGACAAAGCATTGTTTTCCAATGATAAAGCATCCAAGTTTGTCAGGAGCCCAAGTTGTGAGGGAACTGTCCCAGTCAAGTGGTTTGAGTCTAGAAGAATAGATGAGACATTTTCCAGCAAACCTAGCTCAGTTGGGAGACTTCCTGTGATTTGATTGCCATACAAGTCCAATGTGTGTGCATTGGTCAATAGCCCTAGTGAAGCAGGAAGGGTTCCTGAAATCTTGTTGTTTCCAAGGTCAAGAATTTGTAAAGATGATGCAGTAAGCTCAGTGATTAGTTCCAATGGCAGCACTCCAGTGAACTGGTTGTTGCTGAGATAAGCTTTTTGAAGCTTGGGCAGCAATCCAAGCTCAGTTGGAATCATTCCCGAGATTGCATTGGAATGGATGCTGAGAACTTCCAGATTGGGCAAGACACCCAAGTCACTTGGAAGAGGGCCGCTTAAGTTGTTTCTGGAGAGATAGATGTGCTGGATATTCTCCATCCTCCCAAACTCAGATGGAATTGATCCATGGAACCAATTCTTGTCCATCTTGAGAGATGTCAATTGCCCTAGTCTGCCCAACGTACTTGGCAAAGAACCAGTCAGAACCAGCTGTCTTAATGTCAAATCCTTCATATTGGTGAGCGAACCCACTTCTTCGGGTAATTCTCCTCTGACTGGCTGTTCAAACAAAGCAACTGTTGACAAGGAGGTCAGCAACCAAGTTTCCTTTGGCAGATTACCAACCATGTCATTGGTGTGCATAACCAAAGCTTGGTACTCGGAATCCTGCACAGGAGTTGTTGCTGTTACACAGACTCGTTCCTGTGGCTCCAAGTCGGTATGCCACAGACATTCATCAAAGTCATATGACAGCCAATTAGTTCTGTTCATCCAGAGTTCCCCATTCAAAGCAAAATAAAATGTAGCCAGAGCAAACCTCTGTATTTGTTTGTCTGTTGAGTATTCAAGTTGCTTGGGATCCTCAAACAGCCAGTCCAAGGCAAGGGACTGGGGTGATCGAGGATTATTCAAGGCTTGCAGAGTGTACTCTGGTAAGGGAAGTTTTATGAGTGTTGGTGCAGATGTAGGGGTTTCAGTCACTTGGTGATTGGATGGTATGAAGGAAGGGGCTTCAGATAGAGCCAACATCGGAGGTACTGGTCCAGATGAAGGGGTTTCAGTCACTTGGTGATTGGACGGTATGAAGGAAGGGGCTTCAGCTAGAGCCAGTGTGGTGGGTACTGGTTCAGAAGAAGGGGTTTCAGTCCTTTGGTGATTGGATGGTGTGAAGGAAGGGGCTTCGGTTGGGGCCAACATTGGAGCACGTGTTGTAGGTTCTAATGTTGGTGCTTTGGTTGGAGACAAAATAGGAGCCAGTACAAAGCTTTGTTCCGGAGGTTTTTCAGCTCCAGCACTGGATCCTTCCGCCCCCTGGATTGGTGCCTCTGATGGATACTTCAAAGGAATCTCTGCTTCTTCCAGAACAGACAGAATAGATACAGATGAAACATGCAGTGCTGTAGGCGTTGGAGTAATGGGTGTTGTCAAAACAGAGGGTGGTGCAACTGTGGATAAGTCTTCAAGGATGGAAGGATCCTTCACTTCTTGTGGTGGCGGTTCCAAGGCAAGGTTGCCAGCTAGTCTATTCCTTTCAATGGTTGCTGCCACAGCTACAATAGCAATGATGACAAGAATAATAAAGCATATTGCTTTCCAATTTCCGAGCATGTCACAGAGGCAGAATCGGTGCAATGGTGTAGCTTCCACCAAGGCTACATCAGGCTGATTCGATGCTGCTATAGAAAACTGCATTGAGTCTGATTGTCGCCTGGGCCTACATTCATCGTCTGTGACAATGGATTGGTCACTGACCAAAGTGGCCTCAATAAGAACTTCGTTCATTGCTTCATGAGCGTTGTGAGTTTGAAAACCAACGCTTTCTACAGACTGAGACTCGTCTCGGCTGATTTCGTCGGTGGCTGGTACAGTCACACCACCCAGGCCCATTCGAAAAGCTCCCGGCAAACTCAGCCTACGAGAGGATCTCAAAGGCGTAGGGGCTGCTGCCCTCAAGGAAGGAGTCAAGGAAATGTTAGAGGAGGCGGCTCCAGTAGGTCGAGGACACTCTTCGTTGTCGTCGCTGGTTTGTTCCGTGCCACCAGCCACAGATGTTTTTGTCAGGTCGTGTCCATCATACATCAAGTCTCCTTCGTCTATATTGTCGGTATTGGCGGTGATGCGACTCATTTCGTCGCCCTGCGGAGAACAACTGCAGTTGACCCTCATAACCGGCAAATCGCTAGGAAGCGTGGACATTCCTGCCTCAATATCATCAAGCAAGTCAGGAGGAAGTGGCAACTCAACTTCGCTGGTGTTGGAGCTTTCGTCCTCGAGTTTGTTTTCCATGGTATCAGACTGTTTGCGCTCGTACGATTTGGTGTCGAGTGTGGATTTGGTGTCCACGAAAAACTGACAAAAGGATTGGATTTCCACCTGGGTGGCTTTGAAATGGCTGTGATGGTGTGATATGTGATCGTTCCGAATGTTCATTGACTGTGTAGGTACCGGTACGGCACAGTAAGAGTTTTATGCTGTGGCATTGTCTCATAAGCCTTCATCTACAAGCACCCGTCTAATTACCATAACCTATGTTTTTATTTACAGTACAAGTAAGTCACCAATCGTGTTGGCTCTTCTTGCTTTGTGAGATGCTCGAACATGTTTATGCCCGGCACCTCACGCCTCACGCAGAAGCACGACCCATGCTGAGCGGGAAGCCTTGGACCTTCGGCATACATGTACCTACAGCTAGCTATGCTCGGTGCACAATCCATTTACGACTTTCGTAAGTAAGTTGTTTAGTATAAGAGTAGCAGTAAGTGTGCGCATACTGTACTTACACGTAGCTGGACGACGTAGTGATTGTTGCATAACCACTTTTTGGGTGGATGGCCAAACCTTTGAAACCTTCCGAACACGAATCGACCTCAATCTTCGAACAGATCCAAGCGGAATGTTGCGGTGTGGCGGTACATAAACAGTAGGGGTTGCATCTCCTAATTCTGTTCCATCAACAATTGAAACGGAATGAAAGTCTGGCTAGACGTTACACAACCAGTCAGGAGATAACACAGTAGGAACTGTTAGGTGTGTTTGTTAAAAGGAGGGACGCAGGATATCGATTTTGCATTATCTTTGTTCTCTTCTTGCTGATTGCTCAAATCACTTGTCCTTTCATCGCCAGATTCTTCCATCCGCATTACTATTACAGACTACAATTAAAAATATTAAACATCATGAGCCAAGGATCCAAAGATGCGCGAAGGCAACACCCTTGGAACCTTGACATGGATGATGATATTGAGAGCATATCTCAGCTCTCTTGTTCTTTCATATCCAGAGCCAGAAGTGACACAAGTGACAGCGGCGACAGCTACAGCACAAGTCACTCTCCCAGAATAGCTGACCCTGAAGATCTGGAGTCGCAGGGCCTGTTTGCAAACGATGACAAACAGGCAGCAAAGGAAGGCAAAGACCTGACTGAAGAAACATCCGGCAGTAAATTCTTCATGTGCGATATCGACGATGACACTGTCTCTCTGAATCTCCAACAGCGCGATACGGAGGCAGAAACACCTGCGAAGTGCAATCAGGAAGAGAACTCCCAGAATGTTTCGTCGCCACGCTGGTGGGAACCAAACTCAACATCTCGTTGGTGGGAACGAGGAGCAACAGGATCTTCTTCGCGTTGGCGGGAACGGGCAACTGCGTCAGAGAATTCTGGACGTTCCTGTCGCTCGTTGTTGTCCTTTGCAACTCCACCTCCTCCTCCGTCTCTGCGTCCGAGTAGAGGACTCAGTCGACCAGGAGCCTATAGCATCCCTGGTATCAATGCACGAGATGGTGGCACGGGAGAAGAAGAGAAAGAGGAAGAGACGTTGGGAAACTCGTCATCTACCTCTTCCACCTTTGAAAACGAGTACGATGATATGCTGCTGCTCGAGGCCACCCTTGTCAGCGAGAAATCGCTCATCAAAGACACAGAAGAAACATCCAACGAACTCGTGTTGCAAGCCGAACCTCTCAAAAGCAGATGTACTCCCCGTTTTGTGTGTTCCATGATTGCATTACTTCTTGTGATTGCTGGAGCTGGAGCAGCGGCTGGCACAGAATGGGGCCGCCGAAAATACGATGTGGAACTGGCTCCAAGAACTGGCACGTCCTCTCCCACATCCACTTCATATACAGATGCTGACATATCAGCGTCATCTTCCGCCGCATTCGGCACCCAGACACCTACCGGTACAACTTCCTCATTTCCTCCTTCCAGAATACCAGCTGCTTCTGAAGGCAGTGCAATCACGGGCACTGCAGCACCAGGATTCAATGCACCTCCTCCGCACTCCATCACTAGTACTAGTACACAATCGACTTCATTCAACAGTACTTCCGAGTCTGTTATTCTCATATCCTCAAACTCCACAAACAATGAGCTGTCCGCTGGTGATTTCGTCATGAGCTTCCTGCCAGAAAAGACCAAGGCGATCGTACTGGAAGACCCGAGCTCACATCAGGGAAAAGCGTTTCGATGGCTGACATCAGATCCAACATTAGAAAAGTATCCCCCAGGCCGGGTTATGCAGCGCTTTGCACTTGCAACCCTCTTCTATGCAAGCAATGGGGAACAGTGGGAAAGCAGCGACAATTGGTTGTCCTATGATGTGCCTGAGTGTGGGTGGACGACAGATGCACTTGGTGGTCTCCTCTGCAACGACGAAGACTACTACGAGATCTTATCGCTGAACCAACTGTCGCTTTCTGGTACTCTACCTGAAGAAATCTGGTTCCTGTCAACGTTGGTGTCTCTGCAGCTGTACGATCACGATTTACAAGCCTCGCTTCCATCAAGGATCGCGAAGATGCCTCGGCTTGAGAGTCTTCTTCTCTTTGACTTGTCCCTAACTGGAACAATACCAGCTGAAATCGGGTTGGAAAAGCTCAAGTCGCTGCACCTTGGCGGGAACGCACTCCAAGGCAGCATACCAGTTGAGATTGGCAAGAGCAAACATCTGCGCAATCTTTACTTGGGAGAGAATCAGTTGACCGGATCACTACCTGCAGCCATAGGGAACCTTCATGATCTGGAAGAGCTCGTATTGCATAACAACACTCTCACCTCAACCATCCCGGCTTCCATTGGAGAATTGACAAATCTAAGGTTGCTCTATTTGGCCATTAATTCCTTTTCTGGAACTATACCCAATTTGAGCCCCTTGACTGAACTGCGGGGGATCGTTCTACAGTCCAATCTGTTTCATGGCAACTTTCCTGATCTATCCAGCTCGACAAAACTGGAATACCTCTTCCTGGGGCAGAACAGTTTGACTGGACCATTGCCACCCCATGTTGTGGGGTCATTGACGTCACTCAAAGTGCTAGATGTCCGCCAAAATGGCATGAGCCAAGAAATCCCTTCCGAAGTTGGATTGCTTCGTGAGTTGCAAGTTTTGGACTTGTTTGAGAACTATTTTTCGTCTACAATTCCGACGGAACTTGGCTTGCTCAGCAATGCTCAGAAGATCATGCTGGAGAAGAATATGTTGGAGGGTACCATCGCCTCAACCTTGGGTTTGTTGACAAATCTGGAGCGACTGTGGCTTCATGACAATAATCTTTCGGGGTCTGTGCCGGAAGAGCTTTGTGACTTGGTGAGGCAGAGCGATTTGGATCTTGCAGTGGATTGCTTCAAGGTAGTCTGCGACTGTGATTGCAACTGTGCCAAGTCAACTACTGCGCCAATCCTATCAGGGAACCGAAGCAGCCCGCCTACTGCCTGGGATAACGTTGTTTCGTTCTTCCAAGACTTATTCAACTGATACTGAATGATTCGAATGCTACTGGTACTTCGGCTTTCTTTCGCACAAAACACATTTGCACCATACATGCATACATACATTTACACAATGCATTCTAAAACTGCTGGATTACATTTTAATCTGCCGATACTACTACTGTATAGTGTCTAGTCAATTGATGTGGCATCATGGCGCTTGATGGAATCAGTCGTCATTGTCACTGCTCACCGACTGGAAGAAGGAATCAAGCTCTCCTTCGTCTTCGACCTCAATAACAACCTGTCTAGTGCTGAGTCCCAAAATCACACCAACTATCAAACCGAGAATGATCAAAATCAAAACAACCAGGACGATTCTGACAGTGGTGTTTTGGAGTAATTCGGAGAGTTTTGGCTGTGGCTTGTCGTGTTCTTCCTGTGGATTGACGGGTGTTGCTTCAAAGATTTCTGCTGGAATGTGGTTTGTGGTGATCGTGGCCTCGGTGGCTGATCTCATAATGGGAAGGGCAGGAATCACTTCGTCTGGTTGTACCACAAGTTCAGCATTCACAAGCGGTGTTTGAAAGTTTCGTGATTGTTCGTCCGAGTAGAAGGAGGAGCTTTCGTCGTTATCTGAGTCTTGAGAAAGCCCTCCACCCGACGGAGAAATGCCTTGGACACGGACAGCACCCGGTTGAGTGGCTAATAGGGGAGCAGAGATTCTTCCCCCTCTTCTAAGTTCTGAAGGAGGAAGAGGGGATGATACTATTTCTTCGCTCTGACTATCGACTTCGTCTCCGTCCGCGATGTAGCGCTGGAGTGAACCTTCCGAAATGGAGAGCTTGTCCATTTTCGTTCTGGAGGGTGTTAATTCTAGGGATTTTGTCGCTATCTGAGAGGTTCCATGTTGACTTTGGGTCTTGTTGTTGTTTTGTTGTGATCGTTGCTGGGAATGCTTGAACATGTTGGAGGCTATTTATGAAGTTGTGGGGTTGTGAAATGGAGGAAAAATGTGAGCGTCTCGTTGCCTTGTTGGCGGGCAAGATGCTTATTGTGTTGACCACTGAGTCGAGTCCTGTCACTCACCGGTCACGGTTGAGGGATTTGCATGCTGTTTTGCGTGCAAAATACAGAGTTAGGGATAGACAACCAACCCATCCCGCCACCCTCCTCCCCACAAACACTTCACCCTCCTCTCGATCAATCGAAGGAAGAGCCGACACCATGTCCGAGAGTGATACTCGAAGCAGCGGCAAGAAGCGCCCAGCTCCGTCCTCATCTGAAACAGCACAGCCGGTTTCACGTGATGCGCTGATGGATGCTTTGCCTTACGTGGACTCAACTCATGAGGATTACGAGCAGTATGCGTTGGCGTTGATCGAAGAGGAAATGAAGAACTCCAAGCCTCCGTCGGATGTGTTGGGATTGGCTCCAATAAAGTTTCGATCGCCTCTCATGGAGGCTGAATATCAACGATATGTGGAGAGCGACGGCAAACCAGAACCCATCAAGCTACCCAAGGCATCCAAGACCCAGGCTCCAACTTCGGATACCCTGGCGGATTGGGACGAGTCTGTTCAACAAGCCAGATCGGAATATGAAAGGGAAAGGGTCCGCAGCATGATATTGGATGTCAAGAAAGATTCAGGAGCAGCGCTTTTGTGGAAGGGATTCAACGGAAACTTGGACAAGGAACTGGAAGCCCATCAAAAACTGCTTAATGACCAGAGACAACGAGTCGAACAAATCAACTTGCAAAGGAGCGAGGATCAGCAAAAAACAGGAAAGCAACTCGAGATATTGACAAATCAATATCAAGCTTCATTGGAACGACGGTTCCGGCTCGATATGGCCATCGATGCTCTGGAGCACGAAATTACGCAGCTCTCGTGATTATGATCCGATTCGATAAATAATTACCAAGAGGGCGCTTCATGGATTGATGTTTATTGAAGGTGTCTACAGTAGAGAAGAAGGGATTGTCAATCAATTCAGCAAATTTGAAGTTCTGAAAGAGTTCCATAGTGTGTTTTGCTACATGTACAGCTGCTGCCAGCCGGATATGCTCACTGTGAACAGCACTGCACCAATGAGTTCGAAACGTAACCTGAGTTTAAGGGGATTGCGATCATACTACGGTCCTGTAGAGATTCAAATCATAGCTCGGGTTAATGCCTGCATGATGTATTCGTTGCATCTTTCCTTGGGTACCGGTACCTCCGGTACTAGCTAGCTACATATAGTACTCTAGTAGAGGTACTTCCCTCCACCTTCCGAAGTCTTCTCCTTTCCCTCTCTTTGAATGTGGGGTTTTTATTCTCAGTCTTGCTGGTTTAGAAAAGTCCACGTCTTGGTGCGCGTTACTCGCGCATGCAACTCGAAGATCTTTTGTGGCCAACCCGAAAACGGAAAGATACTCACGGTGAGCGCCGATGCTTTTCTTGGTATCGTCGCTTGGTATTGTCGCTTGTCGTCTTTCCCACGTGCTCTCAGAGGGAAGAGCAGTGTTGGTTAGTTGGAACGATAGCTACAGTACTGTACCTCTACACTGAAGAGCTGGCTAGCAAGCTATTGATACCTTTTGGACCATTAAACCATAGATTAGGCCTCTCACCCAAAACTATTGAAAAACAGGTATTGGGTATCAGTTTTCTCGAGTTTCCAGAAAAGACGACACACTCATCATGTCTACAAGCAACAAAATCCATCCAATATATGTGGCTTTGGATGCCAACCAATACAATCGAGCCATCAAGCTATGTCTGGCTCTGCCCAAAGAAAACGTGCTGGCTCAAGCTTTGCTTGCCCACGCTTACAACAAGTCCATGCAAAGGTACAAGGCACTCGTTGTGCTGCAGTCGATTTTGGGCAAGGATGGCTTTCAAGAGCTGCAACTGGAATGCCAATACTCCAAGGAAGCTTGGGACCAGCAACAGGCAGCCGCCAGTGCTCCTCCTGCTCCTACACCAGCAGCGGCTTCCAAAAAGGGAAAGAAAGGAAAAAAGAAACCAGCACCTGCTGCAGCGAAACCAGCGCCCGATACTGCATCCGAACTGCAAAAGTGGTCTCTGGCAGACCACTTGGAGTCGCCTCCTGCAATTGAACAAACCTGGGAGAAAATACCTCCAGTGGATCAGGCCATTACAGATGAAGTAAGTTGTGTTGGTTCGTTGATCTGCATTTTTACCGGTATCTACTGTCTCACTGATTTCTATTTTACCTTTTTCTTTTGCCATGTTGTCATCGACCATGCACCACAGACAACATTGGGAACATTGGTGATTACCCTCCAGAATCTCCGCCTGTTCTTGACGAGTTATCAGCTATATTGCTGGGCTGCTGCCCGAGTCCCTGCCGACATGTTCCTGAGAAAGGCGTACCTGCATGGTTTGGGAGTGGTCGTCTCGCCCCAGTATGTTGCCATCTCCAAAGACATTCTAGCCAATATGCAGGTCCTCGCACTCCAGTTGGGAAGAATCAATCAACAAACTACTGGCTCGGCTAGACTAGCAACGTCGTGGGTAGCACAAACCGCCTTGTGGCAACTCAAACTGATTGAATCAGATGCCAACTCAACAAGTCTCGTTTCTGATGAGGACCAGAAGAAAGAGCAGCAACGATTAGCATTGCTGCCAAGATTGGCCGAAAACCTCGCCTCCAAATGCGTCGGGGATCCCATGGAGGGTGAATTAGCCAGTGCTCGGAGGGAGGTGTACTTCCTATACCTGAGGACTCTGGAGTATCAATCCAAATGGCAAGAAATGCTCGACTTGCTCCTGAGTGATATCTTCAAAGCCAGCGATGAAACAGCAGTTTTGCTGGCCCCTAAGCAACAAGTTCTCGAAAAACAGGCCGAGTGTATGCAGAAACTAAACAAGTTCGGTGACGCGCGGCTTGTCTTTGAAGAGCTATTGACAGACTACCCCGACAACTTCAATTATTGGAGAGGCCATTTAGAATGCACAATGGCAGAACATGGAGACGATGAAAGTGGCGAGACTGCGTTCAAAATCACCCAACAATTCGCTAACAGCGTCATTGAGAAAAGTCAAGGCGACAAATACCCCAAACGAGGACCGCATTTGGTGAATGTAGAGATCGCAATTGGGCGGATAAAACTCATGGCCGAAAAGCAAGGGGAAGTGTCGGCTTCTTTCGTAGAAGGAGCGACCAAGGCCATCATGGAGTATGGGGGCCTGTTTGAACCAAGTGTTTCTTGTGCGTTCACGGACCTGGAATCCTACCTTGTTACAGTTTTGCGACATGCCACTGACGATCAGATGGTTCCAATACTGAAATGGCTGCAAGAATTGAGGGCGATTCCAGAATCAGAAGATGCAGCAGAGATACGCAGGCAACAACGGAGCTACATTTTCTCTGTAAAGATGACGCATAAAATAGTGGCAGAGCGACCAGCCCTAGCCGACGAATGGCTGCCGGACTGGAAAGACTTGGTTCGAACATGGAAGAAAACACACTCGATGGAAGCACCCATTCAGGTTGGTTCCCATCGTATGATTCTGCTTACTTCTCCTTGTCTTCGTTTCGACTACTCATTCTATTCTGTTCCTACATTCACAGAAAGAAAGCCTCCCTGGCGATGACCTGATCCTTCTAGCTATTCAGCAGGTCCTACGAGGGAACCCGGACGTCAGTGCCTTCTTTATCGCCGCCGTTCTAGTGGAAGCTGGAGTTAAGAATTCTCCCAGCAATGCAACGCTCAAAATTGCTGCTCTAGACATTTATTCTCGACTGAATTCTGCCTCAAGAGCTTGGGCAATCTACCAAGAACTACAAATAAAGCACATCCAGCTGGACACTTGCACGTTTTTGATCCTTCCGATACTCTTGTCGGGTGGATTCTACCAGGAGATACTGAAGGTGTCCAAAGGGCTTCTGATGCTTCATACCAGCGTTGTCAGGGAGGCATGTGAATTTATGGGTCGAGCTATGGACAATGGTATCTTGAGCAAAGCAGATGAGTTCATGTTCTTCCAACGTGACAAGATGACGAATAGCCTTTCTGCTATGGAAGCAACGGGTTACATTCTTGATTCTGCACCATTCTTTGCTCATGATGTCAAGGACGCCTCGCTGGGTATAGCTCATGGGATAGTGGGCGGCGAGTCGGATTTCGAAAGAGCATGCGACATGGTCATTGAAGTTCGGAATCCTTTCGGTGCTCTGAGCTTGCTGGGACGGGCACTGGTTGCAACTGCTTTTGACAGTATATCCGACAATCGTGACCAGTCAATCCTCGACTACGAGACTCTTTACCACAGACAGTTATCGAGCAGAGAAGACATCATCAGCGATTCGATCCGACGAGGACACAGCCACAGCTTGTTGATTCGGGCGTCGCTTTGTGTACACTACACGAAAGGGCCGAAGAAGGGCAAAATAGTAAAACCGGGTGAAGAGCTTTCGAGATGTTCAAGGGTTTTGATGGCTGGAATTGAGGCAGCGAAGGTTTTCTGCGACGAGCTTACAAATCCAATTCATGCCCATTTGATGAATGCGCAGCTAGAACTATGCAGAACTCTACTGATAGCGAACTCTGGCTTTGGTTTGGCAGAGGGAGTCGACGACAGCCTGGAGGAAAGGGAGAAGCAATCGCTCCTTCACCTGGGCAATGCTGTGCAGTTTGTCAAGCGGGCCACCGATTCTACGCAGTTCCTCGAGGGCAAAGTTGATGTGGCAGGTGTGTGTCGCCTTCTCCCTGGGAGCATAGTGCCAGTCTTTGCCACTTTCAGAATGTGTTCAGAAATCCTTGAGCTTTTCGGCTGGGGTAGGCGCAAGCTGAAAACAAAGCAGGTATCGGCAGAGTTCGCCAAGGTTGCCATTGAGCTGTCTGTTTTGGTAAAGGCGATGCTAGCTGCTTTTTCGAGGTGCGTGAAACGAGGTTCTCGGCTTGTTCGTTGATCGCAAATTTCCACTCACGGTTGAATTGTTTCCATTGACCCGCAGCGACAAAGTCCCAGACGGCATGAGCTTATTTGAAGACCTCACTGGCATCATCGAGGAAATAGTTATCAAGCAGACCAGCGCACGAGTTGCGTTTGGTCGTCAAGAGACGCAGACTCGAGTTCGCCCTCACCTGGAGAACATGAGCGCCTTCCTCGATTCTTTTGAAACCGCAGCCGATAACTAACTCTGTACCGGTACCCGTAGCTCTAGCTAGGCACCAGCGAAGAATGCGCAGCCATGCACGACGAAAGCATAAGGTTTTCAGACCAACTTCTCAGCTGTAGAAAGCTAATCCTATGGTTATTGGACTTTCTGTGGCACATGTAGTAAACCTTCGTGTCAAGGAGACCAAGACCCTTGGATTCACCTTCGTCGACCACATTGCTTGGATACACTTTACTCCTCACGTTCCCCTCTGAGCTGGCCTGGAAACTTTAACCTCGTCGAATTGTCTTTTTCTCTTGTGAAGTTGGATCATACACGCCCAGGAGGCCCACAGCCCAACTCTCATCAGTACCGGTACTGGTACAGCTCCCATCTTGTCAATGAACGTTCTGGCGACTTAGTAAACTTCTTTCAAACGTCAATATTGACTTCGTTTATCTACGTTCTAAAGACAAGCACTGGATTTACATCCACGAAATCTAGAGCCTCTTCACGTCACATTCACCTCCGTCACGCTTCACAGCAGCCTGACCAGTTGCAAGACGAGCCACGGGAACCCTGAAAGGAGAGCAAGAGACATAGTCCAAGCCAACTTTGTCAAAGAACTCAATGGACTGGGGGTCACCGCCATGTTCACCACAAACTGAAAGGGAAAGGCCAGGGCTGGCTGCTCTTCCATTCACTGAGCTGTGGCGCACCAGCCAACCCACACCTTCAGCATCAATGGTCTTGAAAGGATCCTCCTCAAGGATGCCATTTTCTAGGTATGTTGGAATGAAAGCACCTGAATCATCTCTGGAAATGCCCATGGTCATCTGAGTCAAGTCGTTGGTGCCAAAGGAGAAGAAGCTGCAAAGCGGCTGTCCATCCTCAGGATCAACCACTGATGCCAGTTGGTCAGAAATCAAAGCAGCCCTGGGAACCTCAATCATCGTGCCGATTTCATAAGGGACATCAATGTTTCTTTCAGCTTTGATCCTTTCAGCTGTTCTCTTGATAATAATAGCTTGAGTCACAAACTCAGGAATGCTTCCTACAAGCGGAACCATGATCCTTGGAAAGGGCTTGGCATCTGGGTTCTGTTCAATCAAATCAGCCGCAGCATTGATAATGGCTTCTGCCTGCATGGTGGCCACTTCCGGCCGCACAATGGCAAGACGGCAACCACGGAGACCAAGCATTGGATTTTCTTCATGCATGGACTCAATGTCACTGATCAAGGCAGCTGCACTAGAGTATCCCAGTTCTTTGGCCATGGCATCATCAACTTGCTGAACACGAGGGAGGAATTCATGGAGGGGAGGATCCAACAAACGAATGGTGACTGGCTTCCCATCCATGGCTGCCATGATTTCCCTAAAGTCAGTCCTTTGGAATTCTTGCACTTTGTCAAGGTCTTCTCCACGCAAGATCCATCGACGCACAACAGGAAGGCGCTCAGGAGCAAAGAACATGTGCTCCGTGCGGCAAAGCCCTACTCCCTGGGCACCAAGCTCTGCAGCCTTTGTGGCATCAGGGCCTGAGTCTGCATTGGCCATGACCTTGCACTTATCAGAAAGCGCGTCAGCCCATCCCAACACCTTTCCAAATTCACCATCCAAGGCAGGGGAGCTTGTTTCAATGGCAACTCGAACAATTTCACCAGTGTTACCATTCACTGAGATGGTATCCCCCTCGGTGAAAGTTTCTCCTGTCCTCTTCACTGTCATTGTCTTTGATTTCTCATCTATCTCCAGCTGCTCGCAACCGCATACACATGGCTTTCCCCACCCACGCGCGACAACAGCGGCATGACTGGTTACTCCTCCGCGAGAAGTTACAATGCCATTTGCTGCCCACATCCTATCAGTTGCAAGAAAGAAGAACAAAGACGGTTGGCAACTCAGCATCAAAATGTCCGATGAACTTTCGCACATATATTTGTGAAAGTCAAAGACGGGCGGCAACCTGACACTTACCCTCCAACATCCTGCGACATCGTCGTCATATCCGGATATGCGATCAACAAAGGCGTGCATTAGACTTTGCATCGGTCTTGAAATCTCGTGAGAAGGATTCTTGCCAAACCTTTGCTTACCTCTGGACTTGTGTTTTCCCGTACAAGGATCACCCCTTCTGATTGCCTTGCTTCAGCGTCCTCCGTAGTAAACGCCAACTTTCCAATAGCAGCTCCAGGTCCTCCAGCAAGCCCAACAGCCACAACGTTATCTTTGTATTCCTTCGATTCAAGGGCCTCCGAAGAAAATGTTGGGTGTAGCACTTGCTTGACGTGGTCGGGCTCGACTTTAAACAGAGCTTCTTCGGGGGTGCACCTGGTAGTACACAGGAGAGAACAACGAAACTGAGACACTGCACATCAGCCAAAGCCGACCACATTGATCCCGTTTGGCTGCCACAACTTACAAGCCCTCTTCTACCAAATCTGCAGCAATCTTGAACGCAGCTTGCCCAGTGCGCTTTCCGGACCTACACTGCAACATCCAAAGCTTTCCGTCCTCAACTGTAAACTCAACATCCTGCATGTCCTTGAAGTGCTTTTCCAAAATGTCCACATTGCTCATGAATTGTTCATATGCATCAGGGAGCACCTCTTTCATTCTGGCAATGGGTTCTGGTGTTCTAATCCCAGCCACGACATCCTCACCTTGGGCATTGATCAAATATTCTCCCTTCATCTTGTTTTCTCCTGAAAGAGGCGGAATGTTTGAGTGTTGCCCTGCACGACGAAATTTTTCCACGAGCGCACAAAGACTACCTTACCGGTACCAGGATCGCGAGAGAATGCCACGCCAGTGCCTGAAGTTTCTCCACGATTTCCAAACACCATGGTCTGAATGTTGCAGGCAGTACCTAGCAAACTGGCAATCCCATTGATTTCACGATACTTGATTGCTCGGTCAGCATTCCAGGAGGAAAATACAGCCTTGACACAAGCCTTGAGCTGTTCAAAAGGATCTTCTGGGAACGACTTGTCGTTCTCGGCGTAGACTTCATAGTAGGCCTCGCAAAGTTCCTCGAGATCATCTGCCGAAAAGTCAGTGTCATCTCGGACTCCTTTCTTCATCTTGAGCATTTCAAGTCGTCGCTCAAATGCTTCATGACTGATTCCCAACACAACATCGCCAAACATGTCCAAAAGGCGACGGTAAGCATCATATGCAAATCTCTTGTTGTTGGTGGCCTTGGCCAAACCTTCAACTGTTTCCTTGTTGAGTCCCTGTAACCAGAAAGATGGAAAAATGACAAATGAAATTTGAGAAAGGAACCATAAACAGACGTCCGCTCCCACATATTAATGTGCTTCATCTGGGCTTACAATGTTCAAGACAGTGTCCATCATGCCCGGCATACTGTTGTCGATCAACCAAAAAGGAGTATCAAACCAAAAATAAGTGATACAAAAAATGTCAAAAATCATTGGGGTATCTCTCAATTTCCGTACCTAACGGCGGCTCCACTGCGACAGGAGAACAATAATGGATTTTCTGGATTTCCATATCCCTTGCCGGTGTCTTTTTCGATTCTCTTGACAGCTTCTCGAACAGCCGCCCACATTTCATCCGAGAGGTCGCCAGAATCTTGAAACTCCTGGCAGACAGGGGTAGTCAGAGTAAACCCTGGTGGGACAGAGACTCCAATTCCAGACATGATTTGAAGGCCAAGACCTTTTCCGCCCACAATCTGCTTGTCGGGCTTTTCTTGAGGAAGTGCAGATCCTCCAAATTGGACAATTTTGGCGTCATCGCTGGGGGTGGTGCCGTCAGTTACCGACGTGGTTTTCAAGGTAGATGCCGCCAAACTCGAGGTGAAGCGACCGAGACCAGGATTGGGCAAACCAAATGCTGCCGAGTACTGTGCACAAAGGCACAGCGAAAGAACTGGTATCAAATGACGGACCGAAATCGGGCTCATGGTCGTAGTGCAACTCTTCGTTTTCGTGATTTCTTTTCTCTGCGTTGAACCAACACAAGCGAAGGAAATTTTATGCCAACGAAACCAAGCCATCAACACAGGAAAGTTAACCATACAGAGAATCGAATCAATTCCAATAACTTCCTCAGGCATCAAGACCCATCAAAGGAAGAAGAAAGAAAACAATTCTGGAAGATACCGTTTGGTTGCGAAGATCCGTTCGGAGCTAGCAAGACATGGTGTCTTTCGCTCGCAGCTGCGGTCAATTGATCAAAGACATCCATCACGCTTGGATTTGACGTGGTGACGTGGCCCCACGTAGGAACTAAACGGCATTGCCCTTCTGCGCTGACACCAATCAGCAGGACTTTCCCATAAGTAACGAGACAGAGAACAGTGATGCTCTTCAAATTTTGCCAGCTCAGCAGCAAACAGCAGAGATGCTCTTACACCCAAAGGCAACTCAGATTGCTTTGGCCCCATCAGGGGCAGCATTCAATTGTTGCTGTTGGTGGCTGGCTTCCACGGGGTTGCTAGCTAGCTAGAATAGCAGACTGCATTGCACCTTGCAGAAAGCAGTTGTATCGCAGGGGGAGGTTGGAAACTATGGTTGCTAGCTAGATTCGTATGGGTACATTCATACCAGGCAACAGATTTCATGCTGAAATAATTACTAGTAAATAGATATGCATGATGCTGTGTTTGCTTGCTGGCTGACATGGATACAAGCAGCTCTTCCTTTCAAAAGAAAACATGGACTTGGGAGGAGACTCAATACACCCCACCTGTTTCTAGTCACTGCTAGTCAGTCGGTGCCTCTGTCTACAAGAGTTGAGGGCTCACTCAGTCCCTACAAGAGCTCAGGGCTCAGTGTAGAGACAATCTCACCGCTGTAGAGGCGGTGCACATCACAATGCAAGCCACCCCGCCTAATGGCTGCTTGACCAGTGGCCAACCTAGCAACAGGAACACGGAATGGAGAACAGGAGACATAGTCCAATCCTACCCTGTCAAAGAAGGCAATGGACTTGGGATCACCACCATGCTCCCCACACACTGACAAGGACAAATGATCATTTGTCTTTCTTCCTTCAACACTGGAGCGGCGGACAAGCCAACCTACGCCCTCTTCATCAATGGACTTAAATGGGTCATCTTCTAGGATGCCCTTTTCCTCATAAGAGTGAAGGAAGGCTCCAGCATCATCTCTGGAGATACCCATGGTCATCTAATCCAAGCGCAAACATGGAGTGAGACGCAGAAGACAAAGTAGACAAGTCTTCCTTTGCACAAGCATAATAACTTACCTGGGTTAGATCATTGGTTCCAAACGAGAAGAAGTCACATAGCTGCTTGCCATCGTCTGGGTCAACCACGGCAGCAATCTGGTCAGAGATTAGGGCGGCTCTTGGAACCTCAATCATGGTGCCAATCTCGTAGGATACATTTATCTTCCTTGTGGCCTTGATCTTCTCGGCAGCTTTCTTGATGGCAAGGGCTTGACAATTGAACTCTGCCACACTACCAACAAGAGGAACCATGATCCTGGGGAATGGCTTGGCATTTGCAGGATCCTTCTCCATTACATCAGCTGCAGCATTGATGATTGCTTCAGCTTGCATTGTAGTGACTTCTGGACGAACAATCGCAAGACGGCAACCACGGAGACCAAGCATCGGGTTTTCTTCATGCATGGACTCAATGTCATTGATGAGGCCATTTACATTGCCTCCATAACCTAGGTCAGTCGCCATGGTTGCATCAACCTGTTGAACACGAGGGAGGAATTCATGGAGGGGAGGATCCAACAAACGAATGGTGACTGGTTTGTCATTCATGGCTGTAAAGATCTCATTGAAGTCCTGTCGTTGGAATCCCTGCACTTGATCCAAACCCTCGCCACGCAAGATCCATCGGCGTACAACAGGGAGACGCTCAGGAGCAAAGAACATGTGCTCAGTACGGCAAAGACCAATGCCCTTCGCACCCAGCTCAGCAGCCTTGGTAGCATCAGGGCCTGAGTCTGCATTGGCCATGACCTTACACTTGTCCGCAACATCATCAGCCCATTTCAAGACAGTAGAAAAGGCACCCTCAAAAGAGGGTTCACTTGTCTCAATGGCAATTCGAATAACCTCTCCAGTGCTTCCATTGATCGAGATTGTGTCTCCCTCCTTGAAGGTCTCACCAGTCTTCTTGACAGTCATGGTCAAAGCCTCTTCATCAATTTCAAGAGCCTCACAACCACAGACACATGGCTTTCCCCATCCTCTGCAAGTGAATAGATGCAAAGTATGAATGAGACATTCCAGCCATCATTCAAAGCAGCACAACCACTTTGCACGCTGTACATACCTGGCGACGACGGCTGCATGGCTTGTTACACCTCCGCGAGATGTCAAGATACCGTTGGCTGCCCACATTCCACCAACATCCTCTGGCGATGTGTTGTTTCGAACCAGAAGGACGCCTTCATCCTTGCGTGCCTCTGCGGTCTGAGGCGAGAACACAATCTTGCCGACCGCTGCTCCTGGACCACCGGAGAGGCCGACAGCAACAACGTTGTCTTTGTACGTGGCTGAGCTGAGCGCTTCCTTTGAAAATGTTGGATGCAAGATCTGCCTCACGTGATCGGGTTCAATGCGAAGAAGGGCTTCCTGTGGAGTGCAGATACCCTCTTCGACCATATCAACAGCAATGTGGAATGCTGCCTGTCCAGTGCGTTTACCGGACCTGCACTGGAGCATCCAGAGCCTTCCGTCTTCCACTGTGAACTCCACATCTTGCATGTCCTTGAAGTGCCTTTCCAGCCGTTCAATGTTTTGAACAAACTGCTTGTAGGCCTCAGGAAGATCATGTTCCATTCGAGAGATAGGCTCAGGAGTGCGAATTCCAGCCACAACATCTTCGCCTTGGGCATTGATGAGGTACTCACCCTTCAATTCAGCTTTGCCTGTACCTGGATCTCTCGAGAAAGCAACACCAGTTCCAGAGGTTGGGCCAAGGTTTCCGTACACCATGGACTGGATGTTGCAAGCTGTTCCAAATAGGCCTGTTATTTGGTTGATCTCTCTGTACTTGATTGCCCTTTCAGAGTTCCAAGATCCTGACGCAGCCAAGTCAAATCAAGGACGCCAGTTGTGAGGGAAGGTATTTCGAGCCAGCAATTCCAGTGCAAGTGTGTAACTTACCAAAGACGGCCTTGATGCATGCTTTCAGCTGGTCGTAGGGATCTTCTGGGAAGACTTGGTTGTGTTCTCCGAACACCTTCTTGTACTCGTCGCAGAGTCTTTCCAAGTCTTCAGCGGTGAAGTCCGTATCGTCCTTCTTACCAGTTTCGTTCTTGAGTTTCTCCAAACGTTGTTCAAAGGCCTCATGGGGGATGCCAAGGACTACATCACCAAACATGTCCAATAGACGGCGGAAAGCATCGTAGGCGAATCGCTTGTTGTTGGTGGCCTTGGCCATTCCCTTGACGGTGTTGGAGTTCAAACCGATGTCAAGGACGGTGTCCATCATGCCTGGCATGCTACACGTACATGTAAGTTTCAGCGAGCCAGAAGGCAACCAAGATGCGCAAAGACGAGGAGAAAGACACCACGCGATAGGAAATGAGATGGAGGCAAATAAGTCACACGCGTTCCAAAAACGGTATTCATGTGTGGACAAGTTAGTTGGTTGCATACCTGATGGCGGCTCCGCTACGGCAAGAAAAGAGGAGTGGAAAGTCATAGCATCCAAATTTTTTGTTCATGTCCGTCTCAATGCGTCCTACGGCTTCCTTGATCTGGACCCACATTTCGTCGGGCAAATCGCCGGTGGCCTGGAAGAGCTGACAGACTTGCGTCGTCAAGGTGAAGCCCGGGGGCACGTCGACGCCAATGCGCGACATTTCGGTCAATCCAAGGCCTACAGCAGTCGAGAAAAAATATCGCTGAGACAGGGTGCAGTGCAGCGAGACACCAGGCAAGAATCTGGAGTGAGAGTTATTTTTTACTGAACTTACCTTTTCCTCCCACAATCTGACGGTCCGGCTTCTCCTGGGGGATGGCCGAACCACCAAAGGGAACAAGGTACTTTTCAAGAACGCTTTGCTTGTTGACGGCATCGGGATGCTTGGCATGCTGTCCCACTTTTTCTTGTCGAAGTTGCGAGAGCATTTTGTTTTGGGTTATTTGATTTCAATTGCTTCCTGGAATTTGATTTCTAGATTAATGATACTGTACCTTTTGGCGTCGAGGCATTGATTGCCATGGACGAACCAAGAGCGAAGAGAAGGGTTGAAAAGGTGCTCTGAGAACTCTGAATTTTCTGCAACCAGCATATAGCTAGTAGCTGGCCGTAGGGAAGAGAAGCCCAAAGGATCTTTGGCTTCGGTAAGAATGCCATGAATGAACGTGATGAAACGGATCCTTGGGCTCTCATTCTCTCGACATGAGAACTTGGTTGTCTCCAACGGGTTCATGTGCTGTCAAAGGCGCACATATACGATTCGATTCCTCCATTCTCGACGAGCTTCCCGTCGCTTGTGCATTGACTGGCGTTGCACATCCTTCTCCTCTGTTGACTTTTACAGTATCACCCACAAAATTCAGCATCCGAGCATCCTTCGCTTGGCTCTTCGCTTTGTTTGACATCACCGTTCGCAAACAAAAATGAGACGGTTTTGAGATTTAGTCACGATCGGGACTGCTAAGTAGCTGGTACACACGAGCTTGCCGTGAAGATTGGGCGGAGCACAGCAACGCATCTTCATTTGGCCCGGGTTGCGCTGTTGCTTCAAGAGGACATCCTTCCGCTCCACTACTATGAGCCCTCTGTCGCGTGTGGACCCGGTGCTACTGCGAAGAGCCCTGAGACTAGTTCATTGCCTTCAAAAGGAGCGAGGGGCTAGTTGCGGCCATTTTGCCTCGAAATGCGATCAGATGATTTTTGCCAACATGGAGCGGGCCCGTGTGGACACGGATCGTGCTGTCCAAATGATGTTGTCGGGAAGAAAAGAACTCAAAGTCCACACGACACTCATGAAAATCCGGAAACTGTTGGAAATGGTGGATCTCAACCCCGAAGCCGCCGAAGATTCCAAGCTGAGTTGTCATCGCATTTTGGTCTGTTTCAATGCCTTGATTTCCAGTATTGTACATGACTACTTCACTCAGAGGCTTCCTCTGCAAGTCAGAAGTGGAAAGGGAAGTTTGAGAGGTGGGAGTCCTGGAGGAGCATACAAAAATAGAAAATCATCATCCAAGAAGGGACACAATCGAGCAAAATCCATGGGCGATTGTCTTCTTGCTTCCGAAACAGAAGGACAGTCGAGAAAACCCAACTTCTCTCCAGGATCGGCGCCTCGGAGAATGGACTATTTGGACCCCAGCATTTCTTTGCCAACAACTAGTCCTCCCGAAACTTTGGACCCACCTCCTCCGCCGACTACGACAATTTCCCACAAACGGTCTGGTTCTCATGATTCACCCCTCAAAAATGTACAATTTGATGTCGAACCTGAGGACCCCGAGGATGTCCTCGCCCGTCTCCTCAATCTTCTAGCATGTTTTGTCAAACTCAAAGAATCCACTGGAGTAGAACGGGCTGTACTCTCCAGTCTGGTGGTCTCTGGAAAGGAGGATTCATTGCTCATGAGCGACCTGGTTTTGGAAGTTGAAAACCAGAGACGGTTGCTGGAAGAACTCAAGGATCTGCCATTTGGATCACTTCGAAATCTCGTAGAGGAGCTCGTCGAAATGAGCCTGCCTCTTCGCGAATTGCAGCAAAGCATATTGAAGAATTTTGACCTAGACAGCGTCATTATTAAAGAACCAGACCAGGATGTCCACAGCGTGTGGGACTTGATCACGGTGTACATTGATAAATTACACAGTTTGGAGTTGCTCATCATTGAAGAAATAGAATATTGCCTTCCTTCCGTTGAGGCCAGTCAAAGCAGTGAACGCATCAGTCAAAAACCAAGCCTGATAGAAACTGGATTCATTGCGGCTGTCTTTGGTACCTCCGCATCCGAAGACGAAGTCAGAAATAAATTGGAAAAAATGCCACCGGATGAAGTCAAGGAATTATTGCTGCAAGGTTTGAAATCCAATGACAATGAGGTGGGAGTGGACAGTTCTCATCGATTCGATATGGTCGCCAGCGGCGTGAACGGATTGGGGGAAATAGACGACCCACTCCAACTCATTACCAATCTACCTGCCTCCAAAGAATGGGAAATTGATCTATACGAGCTCAAGTTTTTGAAACGGTGAGCGGATCGGATCCTTTTTTGGTGGTTCAGTGTTCGTGCCGTTTTCTGACAGTTGCTTGATACCGTCCATCTTTTTCTTCGACAGAATAGGAGAAGGTGCCGCTGGGACAACCTACTTGGCAAAATGGACGGGATTGAAGGTCGCTGTTAAGGTGGCCAGCATTACCGAAACTGGTTTAGAAGGTTGGCGGACCGAAGTCCAGGCATTGCAAAAACTGGTAAGAGGAGGAGAGTCCCTGCCATGCCTACCATGACGGGCCTACCGGTATAGCCCTCACATATCGCTTTTTTGCCATGTCTCCCTGGCAGCATCATCCCAACATAATCCGCCTCCTCGGTTCGGTCTATCATCCAAATCCGCTCACGTTCTGCCTCGTGCTGGAGTATTGCAATGCCGGCAATCTAAATATTGCCCTGAGGACTCCAACAGCAAAAGGTTTCTTCTTTCATGTGGCAACCAGTGTAGCAAAAGGTGTCGCTTACCTGCACTCTCGAGGAATTATGCACAGGTAAGAAGAAAACGGTAATGGGGCGAAGCCATTTGTACTGTACCGGTATGCTGTGTTGGATCTGACCTTTTCGAGTCTCGTGTTTCCAAATTGAATATTGCTATAGGGACATCAAGGTATGCTTGCACTTATGATTGTGGTCAGCCTTTTGAACGCGTAGTTGGCAATTCACCTCACAAGTCAGCCTCTTCGGCTCCTCCTGACAAAATCAGCCGGACAACATTCTTTGCGACGGCAACATCAAAAATGGGAATTTCACAGTGAAGGTCAGCGACTTTGGTGTCGCCACAGAAACATCCATACTGGGGGATAGAACTGCAGAAACGGGTACATACAGGTGGATGTCTCCAGAGGTTCTCCGGCACGAAAGCTACTCGAATATGGCAGATGTGTATTCGTATGCGGTTGTAATGTGGCAGCTGGTGACGCGTGAGGACCCCTACGCGAACATGAGCCAAATTGAAGCAGCGGGGAAAGTTGCCTTGGAGCTGACACGTCCACCGCTCCCACCAGGAATCCCAAAGTCGATTGCATCACTTATTCAAACCTGCTGGAGCGAAAATCCTGACAATCGTTGGCCATTTGAGCAACTGTGCGAAAAACTGGCAGAGGCAGAATCGAAGCTCACGTTTGACGAGATCAAATGGCTTGATGCACCATTGGGGCATCCAATCTACTATCCTCGAGAAGAAACAGATGAGGGAACCAAACCTAGTAGCGGCAATGCGCAATTGGTTTCTGCTCCGGTTCATGCCTTTCCGAAACGAAAAGAAGATCGAGGCAAGGATGAGAAAAAGAAGTCAGGCTTTTTCAAAATCAAAATGTTTGGCCATTAGAACTCCAGGACTGTCGCTCCAGAGCACTGTTGCTGCATTGACCAACGCCTGTGTGTAATTAGTTAGATGTAGCATTATGCAAATTGTTGTAGAGACTTGTGTATCAGATTCTCTTGGTTCTCAGTACACTTTGTTGGAACATTCGCAACCTTCTTGTCCCGAAACTTGAACCAGATAATCCGACACGTAGTTTGCAATATCCCAAGCACCGACAAATGCATCAGCGTCATATTCTTCAAACCACTTGCTGGTCAAATCATCTGCTACCGTGGACATTATGTTCATCAGGTCATCGTCTCCAGCTTCTCTGCATTTGATGTAGGATTTCTTGGCTGATTCACCCATTCTCACGTGTACTTCTTGGGGCATCCACTTGGCAACGAAGAAGTAAGTGAATGTGAGTATTTGGCTTGGTTGAAAGCCCGGCCAACTTGCTGCAGCCGACATACCTCAGAATCTAGCCATGCCGCGATGGACTTGGCCATTTTGGTTCCTTCTTCTTCATGATTTTCAAAGCCCGTCAATGAGACTGAATCAACACTACTTCGAAGCACAACGGGGGAAACTCTCGTAGGGCCAATCTTGAACGAATTCCTCGACAGAACATTCTGCTGCACCCAAGCTTGAGATTCCTTCGCCGCCAAGATCGCGAGGAGAAAGGCGAAAAACACGGTTCTTGTGGATGATACTGTCATTGTTACCATAGGTTGTAAGAGCAAACTGAGACTGTTGTGTTTTTTTAACATGTTGCCATTACTAGCTAAAGGAAGAGCTGAAGCAGAATGGCAACAAAAAAACGTAACGGCGAAATGACCGTTCAACAAAGCTTTCCGTTATTTTTGCGTCATGCGAACGTCATTAGTGACTAAGCCATGGTGAATCATGGGTAATCCGTGTCTCAAAAGTATTGGTCACGTTTCCAATTTGCCGGGAGACGGAAAGACGAAAAGTTTAAGTAAGCGGTAACCCGTTGTTGGCTGCTGTTGCTTAGCTCCATGGTCAACAACGACATCAATCCTCGCCCCCTTGCCTGCTTGTTATCGAACAAGGACTTGTACCGAGCAATTTCCATTTCTAATATCTAGATAGCAGTAACCATGGCCGACGTTGAAGAACAACCCGCGGAAGAAGCTCCCGCTGAGGAGCCTGAATTTGTCGTTGCCGCTGAGGAAGAAGAGGAGGATTTCGTAGCTGTGGGTGGAGCTACCGAGGTCAAGCTCTTTGGAAAATGGTCTTTCGATGATATCGAAGTCCGTGATATCTCTCTTGTGGTGAGTTTTAAGTGCATCTGTGGTGTGGGGTATCCATGGACGGTCTCTTCTTTGGTATCGTCATGTATTTTATGTAGTCTGATTCGTTCCGTTTTTCCTTGTTTATTGTTACAGGACTACATTGCCTGCAAGGGAGACCATGCTACGTACCTTCCCCACACTGCTGGCCGATATCAAAAGAAGCGATTCCGCAAGGCATCTTGCCCCATTGTGGAACGTCTTGCTTGCTGCCTGATGAAGAAGGGCCGCAACTCGGGAAAGAAAATCATGGCTTGCCGAATTGTCCAACACACTCTGGAAATCATCCATTTGTTGACAGACCAAAACCCCATTCAAGTGGTCGTCGATGCCATTATCAACTCGGGACCACGTGAGGATTCCACTCGTGTCGGTGGCGCTGGTGTTGTCCGTCGTCAGGCCGTTGATATGTCTCCATTCCGTCGGGTCAACTACGCCCTCTACTTGTTGGCCACTGGAGCAAGAGAAGCCTCCTTCCGAAACTTGAAGACCATGGCCGAGTGCCTGGCCGAGGAACTCATCAACGCTGCTCGTGGATCTTCCAACTCTTACGCCATCAAGAAGAAGGATGAAATTGAACGTGTTTCCAAGTCCAATCGTTAAGCCGTATCGCTGTGGTTGGCCACACTGTTGCGGCAGTGGTCCTGTGCTGTGTCTACTGGCTCCCCGTAATAGTGGTTAATCTAGAGGAAAAGAAATTGCATTCAACTAGCTAGTGGCTCTCTTGACCTTGAGTTTACTCGTCAATCTTCAATGATGTCTAGTTTCACACTGGCTGGGGCTTGATGGAGGTGGCTGGCCATTTGGCCTTTTTTTTGCACAACTGATGCTTTGGCTGTTAGCGAAAAGAGACAGAAAACAAGAGAGACTCCACTCAATGGGAGGACGAATTGAATCAAACCAAGAAGCAAACTCCAGAGTAGTAACGAGTAGAGCTACTACTCCAGTAGCTAGCCCGACCAACTACTCCGGTAGCAAGAGAAGCTTTCAAGCTACCGTGGCTTCGTAAAAGTAGTGGCATGTTATGCTAGGAACATCCAAAGGAGCCATTACCAGCTCTACGAGCTTGTTGCTTGAATTTCATCTCCCCGAGACGATTTGCTTTGGGGGTAAGAGTTGGTCCTAACCAGCTATTTGCACCTCTTTCTTCCTCCGTACGTACGTGAAATCAAGATAACGGCAAAAAGCGGCTTGCTTTCCCTCCATTTCCACGAAAGCTGCGGTACGGCGAACCATTGATTTCCCATTCTCAATTCGCCGTACCGTAGCTTTCATGGAAATGGTTTTCGCGTAGGACCAATCAGAACGTTAGAGCCTGCCGAGCTGCCGAAAACGTCAGTCACCCAACGAATCCCCAACTCTAACCCAACGAATCCCCAACTCTAACGAAAATCGAAAAGATAACAGCACCGTTCGATCGATCTTACTAGCTAGCTACTAACAGACCCATCTCGACAACCAAGAAGGCTAACAGATATACACAGGTAGTAGCTTGTAGGGTACCCTCAGGTTGCTTGTTAGCCTTCTTGGTTGTCGAGATTGGTCTGCTGGTACGACCGTACGGTAGCTTCGATCCTGTTATCTCTGAGTGACGATTCGATTCGATTCGATTGAAACATTCGATTCGATTCGCATTTGGGCTCCCCTGTTTCTCGCGTATCGCGTATGTGTGTCACATGGATAGGAATGAAATCTTGATACGTATGCCTAAATAAATCGATGAAAATAAATGTGTTTCGCGTATGCACGGAGGACACACATGGAGTTTGGATAGGACCTCGCCTAAGGGTACTGTTCGGGGCGGAGGTTTAAATTATACCCCGCTCGCACTACTTAGAGGCCTCTTTAGAAGTCTACGTGAAAACCCTGGTGCAATACACGGCTCTTAGCCAATGCAATACACGGCTCTTAGCCTTATTCGCGACTCGATCCTAGATAGGGTCTGAGTTCGACTCATGACGTAGTCCTTCGCGAATAGTCATTGGAGACAGAATTCTCAATGACCGCTCTAGTCATACTAGGTTGATGATGAAACATCGCTCTAGATATTTAGCACGTGGAGTACTTCACGCCACTAGAATGCTAGACGAATCTTCACGTCCGTTTTGGATCGGGAACGAGTAGGAATGCTACGCCACTCTCTATCACCTACTCCCGCGGGAGTTCAGATCACGATCCTTTGATGTGACTCTTCGTGATTAGTTTCATAGCTTTCTAATCTCCTCATAACTTTCATTCTCTCAAACTCAAAACAGAAAGATCTTTACACTGTTTTTGCGTAGTGCATTTTGTTAACAAACACATAGCTTAAGCTACCCTCAACCTATCCTCACATGAAGATTGCCAAAGACGCATCACCAGCTCGAGTCTAAGCTGCGTGACAAACCAATCCCCTCTCATCGACTCGATTGATGCGAAATCGACGATCTCGTACCACCTACAAACTTCGACCTGTTCAGCAGATGCTAACAGTGCAAGTACACCTTCAAGGTCCAAATCATCAATGGATCGGCGCCCCCATGATTCTTCATGAATAAACTCTTAGAATGAGCTTGAGCAATAAAGTTCCGGATGTTCTGTTAATCCAGTAAGCAGCAGAGTGTAACGGGTTTCGTTTCCTTCCCTCCCCCCCCCCCTTCGCTCGTTCCGTTAAATCTAACATAGACGATAGTTTCGAGGTCTCTTTGCGTGCGACGTTGATGAGTTGATTTGCCATGGACGAAGTTAACGATGCTGAACAGATCGTCAGTGTCTTGTTGAGTAGTTACTAGGCAATTATTCTAATTTGCGTAGACTTGTTAGTGCAAACAATCTTGTTACTATTTAGTGAGATATTTCATACTAGGTAAGAGAAGATCGACGGGTTCCGTGAATAAATCATCCTGGACCTAACACCCAGAGGAGATCTCTCCATGACGATGATATGAAGTCGACATTCCGGCAAGGGCCTTGTCGACAGCAGCCATTTTCTTGTCCATCATGGTTGATGAGAATGTCAACAGAGAGCAGTCCGTCCTCGTAGTTGTCGGAGTTGTCAGACTTGCGCTATGGCAACATGGTTGCATTCGCCGCTTTTCTTCTTGGCGATCAGCTTGACCGCTAGGCGTTGGAAACTCGTTCATGGAGGACAAGAGTCCTCTCTTGGTGAGGTTCTTGGCGTCGCGGACTTTGCGTTCCAGTCTTTTCTTGTTTGACGGCTGCTTGTTATCGTTGTCAAGGCGAAGATGAGACTTGGCCTTGAGCTTCTTTCAGGGGTCCATGCAGTCGCAGTGTGGTGTAGTTCTGGACTCGTGGTAGTTCACACCGATTTTTCTTTCTGTCGTTCTTGGAAGAGTTTTCGTTGTTGGCGAGTAGATTGTACTCTTGCGTTTCTCTTTCTAGGATGCTTGGTTGGAACACCCGCCTCCTGTCAAAGTTCTTCGGAAGGATTCCATGCTTTCGCAGAATCCAAATGGTTTCCCCCGATAGGAGCTGAGAACAGGATCGAAGTCGGTTCGTCCATCCTTCTTCAATCCCACGGAGCGTGGAATTCCATGAACAAAACAACTGTCAATGACTTCGTTCATGGCTTCCAATGTTTGGTTGGGTCCACCCAAAGGTGGTAGATCGAGGAAGTTCAAATCGGTGTTCATCCCGATCTGAGGTGTGACATAAGCCCGATATAGACATACAGCAGGCTTACCGCAATCTTTGCGGCGCATGAAGCGTTTCTGCTCTTTCAAGGCTCTTGTAGGACCAGACCGCTTCGACACAGGCATTTATGCCAAACGTAATGTTCAATGTCGATCCAAAGCAAGCTGAGCTGCTCCGTTCCAGGCAGCCGGAAACGTGCTTGGAAAAGTGGCTTCGTCTTCACCGACCACGTATACTCGCGTGAAGAATCGCGTTGACTGCAATCTGGCGCAATGCACCAACGTATTGTCAGTCATGTGCCTGCACAGGCTAGATTCGTAACTGCTCTTGCCAGAGCTAGAAGTCATCTCCCTGAGGAGGTCATGTTTGTCGTCAGGCTAGCAATGGCTGAGTCCCAGAAGACCTTCTCCATTCGTCAGCCCACTTGATGGTCTGACGTGGAGTCTCA